ATGCTGAACTTTTGTTGCACACATATCTAGATGATGCTGCGTACCATTTTGCACAATGACGCTGTTGGTGTGATCAAGGCGTAACTGTTTGCGAAAAAAAAGAGTGAGATAGAACTTTGAAAGTAGCATGATTTTAGCTTGCTAGTAGCATGTTGATGAGAGGTGTGTTTGGTTGTTTCCAGCTGGTGGAGGTAAAGGGCCCTAGTGACAAACTGTCCCAGAAGCAGCAGATCTGTCTGGATAAACTGGAGGTGTGGAGGTGTGTCACGTGGCAGTGACCGGGGGGTGCCAGAGGGGGGGTTCGGCTGTAATAAGAAGACACTCTTCACACTACTGAACTGAGCCGCTGAGCTGTACATTGTGACTATGCATCCCATAGTACCATTTATTCACTACTGAGCTGAGCTTTACTGGACTAGCCTGGAGGCCAGACGAGCTTCAGAGACTGGGAGCTGACGTAGAGGTGTGTCACGTCACTGCCATCGGGGCTGGAATAGAAATGATGAGCTTGGCAAACACCTGCCTTGACCTTTAACCGTCTCACTGAAGTACACTCTCGGGGCCACAATTTAATTAAACTGACTTTAAACAGTTAGCACTTTAGAGTTTGTTGCAGGACAGACCGGGAGAGAAAAAAAAACCACGATGAGCTCAGTGTTTCCCCTATATTATTTTAGCAGCAGCACACCGAATTGAGGCTACTAATGTTTTGTTCACTCAGTGTAAATATATTTACTTATTTTTTATTCTGCCGAGACGGTCTTTTAAGTTAAAACATCAGATCGTGTGAGAAACCTCCAAGGTAACTAGCTAGCTAGCTTGTAATCCTGGAAGTGTAGCCAACACAGGACGTTGGCACCTTCATTTGGGAGGATGGGCTCGTGGTAATGGCTGGAGCGGAATAGTGAAATGGTATCAAATACAGCAATCACATGGTTTCCATGTGTTTGATGCCATTCCATTCGCTCCATTCCAGACATTATTGTGAGCCGTCCTCCCCTCAGCAGCCTCCACTGGTAGACAACCATACTAAAGAATATCTGTACTACAACTGTTCTAACTCTGGTTGAATGTTAAAAGTATTTGAACTTTGTTTAGTGGCTGATGATGCCGGAAAAGGCTTTTTTGACCTATTTAGTCAGCAATGAGTAGAATAATGCACTGCATGTACTTGCATTATACTTTTTTAAAAACATTACCTGATACATTATCTGCTACAATGTATCACTCCATGATGCTGGGGAAGGAAGGGAGACTCCTCATCCCTAGGTCTGCGTCTGACGTCAGGGCGTGAAAGAGAGAGAGGCGGGAGGCGAGGAAGAGGAGAAAGAGAGGAAGCTGCGATAAACATAGTCACAGAGTGAGTCTAAACTAGGACGATAAAGTGATCACGGTATCAATGCTCGAACAATGGATTTAGCAGATATGATTCTCGTCAAATTCCTCTGTTTCATCTATTTAATAAATTACACCCAAGGTGAGTGAGAGCGTTTGTATTTATTGTGTAGAGCGGAAGGAATAACGGTCAACATCCATGAAGGGAAGAGTATCCAAGACAGGCTAGCTAAGAACGCTAACATAGCGGACCAAGGCCTGGTCGATGTGAAGATGTCGTTTGTCCTTTTGACAAACCACAAAGCTATATAGTTGTCGAAATATATTTATTTTTTAGCTGGGCAAAGGCTAGTTTTTCTTTAAAACGACGATTTACCATGATGGTTATGAGAAGGCTTACTAACGTTAGCTGGCTCGCAGAGGAGCCATTGTTATGAGAATATGAAGAATGATTTGGGCCATCTGATTTTTCTTACGATATTATGGAGTGCTTTCGGTCAATATTGTTAATGCACCACGTCAGTACTACATTTGCAATTATGGTCTGTCCCACTTTCTGTCAACGTTCGCTAGTTAGCCAGATAATTTAGCGTCAATTTAGCAGCAACAATGAACTAGCTGGCCATCTTGCTTGATAATTACCTAGCTAACTATGCCTGTTGACATCTTGTCATTTTTGCATTTTTGGGCCCAAAGTCAATGGATCTCTAGAGAGAGAACGAAGATCGAATACGTTAACTTGCTAGTTAGTTATGTGGTAGCTAGCAGCCTAGGGTATTTCCAGACTGAAGTAACAATGTAGCGAACAAGATATGTTGTAACTATTCTATGGACACAGTAGAAAGATACAATAATATTAAATCTATAGAGGCAACTCACTGTTACTGTATGTTTTCAATGAGATGTTGTTCTTGTTGACACCCACTGCATCAGTTAGAATTCCCTCCATGCACTAATCAATCGAAGAAGTGATTTGAATGAGTGTTTCATGGTTCACGTAGGACTACCTCATTCATAGCCCAAGATGTATTCTTAAGGCGCCTACGGTTGCTCCTAAAGGTCCAAGGACCTTATTTGATATCTTCAGAGGTAGACTGGCGCTGGCAGACAAAACAGCCAAATACTCCATCTAAATGGGAATCGATTCCAAAATAGCGATACGGTTCTAGAAACATAAAGCCCTTTAATTTCATATCACATCAAAATAATTTCACAAATGCAAAATGTACACTTACTGTACACCAGTGGCGGCTGGTGGGAGGAGCTATAGGAGGACGGGCTCATTGTAATGGCTGAAATGGAATAGATGGAACGGTATCAAATATGGAAACCACGTTGAACTCGTTCCTTTAATTCAACTCCAGCCATTACAATGAGCCTGTCCTCCTATAGCTCCTCCCACCAGCCTCCACTGCTTTACACTTTTAACAGGCTTTATCATAGTTGCAGCAGACAGTATTTTTCTGTGACAACACGTTTCTGGCGGCCTTCTTCTGTTACACACGGGTGTTCGGAGCGTGCTAGATAGCTAATTACCACAGGCGTTGGGAGCATTCCAGATAATTATTGTATCTTTCTACTGTATCCATAGAATAGTTACAACATATCTTGTTCGCTACATTGTTAATTCAGTCTGGAAATACCAGAGGCTGCTAGCTACCACATAACTAATTAGAAAGTTAACATATTAGCTGCAGCAGACAATATTTTTCGGTGACTTCTTTTGTGACACACAGGTGTTCAGAGCATGCTAGATAGGTGTTCAGCGCGTGCTAGATGGCTAATTACCACAGGTGTTCGGCGCGTGCTAGATGGCTAATTACCGCAGGTGTTCGGCGCGTGCTAGATGGCTAATTACCACAGGTGTTCGGCGCGTGCTAGATGGCTAATTACCACAGGTGTTCAGCGCGTGCTAGATGGCTAATTACCACAGATGTTCGGCGCGTGCTAGATGGCTAATTACCACAGATGTTCGGCGCGTGCTAGATGGCTAATTACCACAGGTGTTCGGCGCGTGCTAGATGGCTAATTACCGCAGGTGTTCGGAGCGGTGCTAGATGGCTAATTACGCAGGTGTTCGGCGCGTGCTAGATAGCTAATTACCGCAGGTGTTCGGCGCGTGCTAGATGGCTAATTACCGCAGGTGTTCGGCGCGTGCTAGATGGCTAATTACCACAGGTGTTCGGCGCGTGCTAGATGGCTAATTACCGCAGGTGTTCGGCGCGTGCTAGATGGCTAATTACCGCCAGGTGTTCGGCGCGTGCTAGATGGCTAATTACCACAGGTGTTCGGCGCGTGCTAGATGGCTAATTACCACAGGTGTTCGGCGCGTGCTAGATGGCTAATTACCGCAGGTGTTCGGCGCGTGCTAGATGGCTAATTACCACAGGTGTTCGGCGCGTGCTAGATGGCTAATTACCACAGGTGTTCGGCGCGTGCTAGATAGCTAATTACCACAGGTGGTGCCTCTGTCTGTCTTCCCTAAACACGTGCTGTAACATGGCGATAAGGCAGTGGGGGAACACTAACCCTATAAAGGTGTGTATCAATGTGACTTTTTATTTTTATTATTTGCTGATATGAAAGATGGCTTATCTTTCATATCAGCAAATAATAAAAAGTCACATTGATACACACCTTTTATAGGGTTAGTGTTCCCCCACTGCCTTATCGCCATGTTACAGCACGTGTTTAGGGAAGACAGTGGCGCGACCATCTGTGCTAACTAGTAGGGATGTGCATCTTTTTCCTTTCAAGACAATTCAATACGTATATAGATATACATGTGCTCCGATACAATACAGGGACAATACGTTTTAGTTTGAAACGATTCAGTTTGATTAGCTGTATGGTATTTAGCCTACCTACCTGAATGACATCATAAGCTAAAACAGATAGCCTAGGACACTAGCTGGGAGCAGGCACAGGAATTAACTCCAGCTCCTGTTAGTGACATCAGACCCAATAACACCAGCTCCTGTTAGTGACATCAGACCCAATAACACCTACTCCTGTTAGTGACATCAGACCCAATAACACCAGCTCCTGTTAGTGACATCAGACCCAATAACACCTACTCCTGTTAGTGACATCAGACCCAATAACACCTACTCCTGTTAGTGACATCAGACCCAATAACACCAGCTCCTGTTAGTGACATCAGACCTGAGTTCAAATACTATTTTTTAAATATTTCAAATGCTTTGATTGTTTGCTATAGCCTGCCTGAGGTGGTAGTTGGACAGGGTTTGCCATTTTGGGACTGTTCTATTGGTCCATTAAAGCAGACAATCTCAACCAAGCACAGATAAAGTATTTGGAATTATTTCAAATAGTGTTTTGAAGCCAGGTCTGAGTGATACTGATTCAGTTATAATCCGTAAAGCCTTATGTCAAAGCCTTATTATGATATCCAGTTGATTTTATTTCTAGGGTTGAGAGATTGAGATTGCTGTGACTGTTTTGCCTCGCCGGGCCTTTTACGGATGTAGATATATAAAATGCTTAGATCATATTTCTATGGATGTAGACTAGGCTGTACGCTCAGTGAACTACCACTCCTTTGCAGAACTATCACTTCTTTTGCTAATTTTAGTCATTGGGGAAGACGAAAAATGTGATATAATTGTATTTAATATTCAGTTTACACAGCCTGTGGTTTGAAGATGAGTACAGTGTGATTTTTTTTTTTTTTTCTTGTGGTCTAAGATCCTGTCTTGTCATCTTTACAGGTTACCATTATGGGAACCCCCTGAGCAAGTATGTGCGTCACTATGAAGGTCTGTCCTATGACTCCTACCAGATACACGACAAGCACCTGAGAGCCAAGAGGGGCCTCAACCACCAAGACAGGTTTCTCCATCTAGACTTCCATGCGCATGGAAGGTAGGTCTACGTGTCCCAGCATTTTTTTACTCTCTGTGTGTGTTTGTGATAGTTTACAGTGGGGGAAAAAAAGTATTTAGTCAGCCACCAATTGTGCAAGTTCTCCCACTTAAAAAGATGAGAGAGGCCTGTAATTTTCATCATAGGTACACGTCAACTATGACAGACAAAATGAGAAAAATGTCTTCCATTTCCTAATAATTGCTCCCACAGTTGATTTCTTCAAACCAAGCTGCTTACCTATTGCAGATTCAGTCTTCCCAGCCTGGTGCAGGTCTACAATTTAGTTTCTGGTGTCCTTTGACAGCTCTTTGGTCTTGGCCATAGTGGAGTTTGGAGTGTGACTGTTTGAGGTTGTGGACAGGTGTCTTTTATACTGATAAGTTCAAACGGGTGCCATTAATACAGGTAACGAGTGGAGGACAGAGGAGCCTCTTAAAGAAGAAGTTACAGGTATGTGAGAGCCAGAAATCTTGCTTGTTTGTAGGTGACCAAATACTTATTTTCCACCATAATTTGCAAATAAATTCATTAAAAAATCCTACAATGTGATTTTCTGGATTTTCTTTCTCAATTTGTCTGTCATAGTTGACGTGTACCTATGATGACAATTACAGGCCTCTCTCATCTTTTTAAGTGGGAGAACTTGCACAATTGGTGGCTGACTAAATACTTTTTTCACCCACTGTATGTTGTTAAATTCAAAGTAAATCAGCAGGTGTAAACCAAGTTCAAGGTTAATCTTGCTTTCAGTGTAAACTGAAAACGGCTAAAACCAGATATAAAGTATGCAGAAAAGATAAGAGCCATATATTCTTAAATAATATAATCTTTGAGAACTAACAATCACCAAAATAAAAGTTACAGTCAAAGATAATTGGAATTTAGCAGTGTTGATTAGGACTGTTCCGATACCAGTATTGCAGTATTTTTTCCATGGCAAAAATGAAAACACGAAGCAGGAAATTGGCTTTAAAACTGCAACATTTTCTCTCAGCCGCATGGCAAACTGTGTAGAATTGTAGAAAATTGGCTTACATATTTTTTTTATATTTCTCTAAACCGCCAAGATGGGGGCCTCTGAAATTTTGCCGGGCTGACAGTGCCAATTGCCACGCCCACCACCTAAGGCCCTTTTTGATCCAGAAGAAACCCTGACTGAACATCGGCTTATTTGTAGTTCAAGATGAGTCTTGTTTCTCAATAACTGAACTGTGATGTTCTCAATAACATAGGCCTATTTGTTTTAATGAAAGTTCTTTAGCCTTGTTTTCATCTGATTTATTTAACACAGCCTAATTATTCATATACTGCACATTCTAAATTAGCCTTCCCAGGCTTTGTGGGAGAGCGTGGTTTAGCCTTCCCAGGCTTTGTGGGAGAGCGTGGTTTAGCCTTCCCAGGCTTTGTGGGAGAGCGTGGTTTAGCCTTCCCAGGCTTTGTGGGAGAGCGTGGTTTAGCCTTCCCAGGCTTTGTGGGAGAGCGTGGTTTAGCCTTCCCAGGCTTTGTGGGAGAGCGTGGTTTAGCCTTCCCAGGCTTTGTGGGAGAGCGTGGTTTAGCCTTCCCAGGCTTTGTGGGAGAGCGTGGTTTAGCCTTCCCAGGCTTTGTGGGAGAGCGTGGTTTAGCCTTCCCAGGCTTTGTGGGAGAGCGTGGTTTAGCCTTCCCAGGCTTTGTGGGAGAGCGTGGTTTAGCCTTCCCAGGCTTTGTGGGAGAGCGTGGTTTAGCCTTCCCAGGCTTTGTGGGAGAGCGTGGTGTAGCCTTCCCAGGCTTTGTGGGAGAGCGTGGTTTCTCCCAGGGGACCCAGTCGAGACCATCTGGCTGTTAGTCAGACCTGGGTCAAAATATTATTTGAAATAATTTCAAATACTTAATCTGTGCTTGATTGAGCTTGCTTGGCTTAATGGCTCATTAGAGAAGGCCCCAAACTGCAAACCCTGCCTATTTAGCTCTCCAAGCAGGCTAAAGCAAACGCTCTAAGTTTTTTGAAAGACTTCAAATAGTATTTAAATCCAGGTCTGCTGCTTGGCAGGGAGGAGACTAGGCCTCTCTCATTCTGTCAGTGGCAAAGCCTGGTGCTCCTAGCCTCAGATGCTATTGCTTAATAGGGAAGGGAAGGAATAAGAAGCTGTGCAAACAAACAAATAGGAGAGCTGCTATGTCTGCAGCTGCTCTGAGAAGCAGGAGTCTCTAACAGAGGATTTATACTATACAAGCAGCACTCGCCCTTATGTGGGTGCTAGCCAGGTTGTGCTACGAATCAACAGCCATTGTCAGCCAGTCCAGTAAGGGGTTGGAAGCTATTGGTCTCCGACCACTCCGTAGCTTCCGACCCCTCCGCTGGCGTCGCTCAACGGTCCCCCGACCACTCCGTTGGCGCCGCTCAACGGTCCCCCGACCACTCCGCTGGCGTCGCTCAACGGTCCCCCGACCACTCCGCTGGCGTCGCTCAACGGTCCCCCGACCACTCCGCTGGCGTCGCTCAACGGTCCCGTTCTCTTTTCCTTTTCATTGAAAGGCTTCCGATGTTTCACTGCATGATGCCGCTTCCTAGTATAAACAGGCGGTAAAGCTCAGAGTCCTGGCTTGGAATTTATTTAGCCTGGAACAAGATCTGTTTGTTTTGTCTTGCCAACTCCTATGGTCATTATTTAATTTTTTTAGAGGGTAGATCAGCATTAATACTGCAGATTGTGGCATCTATAAATGTAATTGTCTGCATAATTTTCAACCCCCCCCCCCCAATATATATTTTTTGTAAATATACAGTGCCCTTCAGAAAGTATTCAGACCCCAGACTTTTTCCACGTTTTGTTACGTTACAGCCTTATTCTAAAATGGATTAAATAAAACATTTTCCTCGGCAATCTACACACAATACCCCATGATGACAAAGCGTTTTTAGAAACTTTTGCAAATGTATTAAAATACAGAAATAAATTATTTACATAAGTATTCAGACCCTTTGCTATGCGTCTCAAAATACAACTTGATTGCTGTCCACCTGTGGTAAATTCAATTGATTGGACATGATTTGGAAAGGCACACACCTGTCTGTATAAGGTCCCACAGTTGACAGTGCATGTCAGAGCAAAAACCAAGCCATGAGGTCGAAGGAGTTATCCGAAGAGCTCCAAGACAGGATTGTGCCGAGGCACAGATCTGGGGAAGGGTACCAAAACATTTCTGCAGTATTGAAGGTCCCCAAGAACACAGTGGCCTCCATCATTCTTCATTGGAAGAAGTTTGGAACCACCAAGACTCTTCATAGAGCTGGCTGCCCGGCCAAACTAAGCAATCAGGGGAGAAGGGCCTTGGACAGTGAGGTGACCAAGAACATTTACAGTCATTACAACATTTGAGTCATTTAGCAGACGCTCTTATCCAGAGCGACTTACATTAGCAATTAGGGTTAAGTGCCTTGCTAAAGGGCACATCGACAGATTTTTCACCTAGTCGGCTCAGGGATTAGAACCAGCGACCTTTCGGTTACTGGCACAACGCTCTTACCCACTAAGCTACCTGCCGCCCCAAGTTGGTCAAGAACCTGATGGTCACTCTGACAGAGCTCCAGAGTTCCTCTGTGGAGATGGGAGAACCTTCCAGAAGGACTACCATCTCTGCAGCACTCCACCAATCAGGCCTTTTATGGTAGAGTGGCCAGACGGAAGCCACTCCTCAGTAAAAGGCACATGACAGCCCGCTTGCAGTTTGCCAAAAGGCACCTAAAGAAGACTCAGACCATGAGAAACAAGATTCTCTGGTCTGATGAAACCAAGATTGAACTCTTTGGCCTGAATGCCAAGCGTCACGCCTGGAGGAAACCTGGCACCATCTCTACGGTGAAGTATGGTGGCGGCAGCATCATGCTGTGGGGATGTTTTTCAGTGGCAGGGACTGGGAGACTAGTCAGGATCGAGGGAAAGATGAACGGAGAAAAGTACAGAGAGATCCTTGATGAAAACCTGCTCCAGAGCGCTCAGGACCTCAGACTGGGGCGAAGGTTCACCTTCCAACAGGACAACGACCATAAGCACACAGCCAAGACATCGCAGGAGTGGTTTCGGGACAAGTCTCTGAATGTCCTTGAGCGGCCCAGCCAGAGCCCGGACTTGAACCCGATCTAACGTCTCTGGAAAGACCTGAAAATAGTTGTGCAGCAATGCTCCCCATTCAACCTGGCAAAATGGGAGAAACTCCCCAAATACAGGTGTGCCAAGCTTGTAACGTCATACCCAAGAAGACTCGACTATAATCACTGCCAAAAGGTGCTTCAACAAAGTACTGAGTAAGGGTCTGAATACTTAGGTAAATGTCATGTCAGGTTTTTATTTGTAACAAATTAGCAAACATTTCTAAAAACCTATTTTTTCCTTTGTCATTATGGGGTGTTGTGTGTAGATTGATGGGGATTTTTTAAATCCATTTTAAAATAAGGCTGTAACATAACATAATGTGGGTAGGTGTGTCCAAACCTTTGACTGGTACTGTGCATACACACACTACCAGTCAATAGTTTGGACACACCTACTCATTCAAGGGTTTTTCTTTATTTTTTACTATTTTCTACATTGTAGAATAATAGTGAAGACATCAAAACTATGAAATAACACATGGAATCATGTAGTAACCAAAAAAGTGATAAACATTTTTATTTGAGATTCTTCAAATAGCCACCCTTTGCCTTGACAGCTTTATACACTCTTGGCATTCTCTCAACCAGCTTCACCTGTAATGCTTTTCCAACAATCTTGAATTAGTTCCCACGTATGCTGAGCACTTGTTGGCTGCTTTTCCTTCACTCTGCCGTCCGACTCATCCCAAACCATCTCAATTTGGTTGAGGTTGGGTGATTGTGGAGGCCAGGTCATCTGATGCAGCACTCCATCACTCTCCTTCTTGGTCAAATAGCCCTTACACAGCCTGGAGGTGTGTTGGGTCATTGTCCTGTTGAAAAACAAATGATAGTCCCACTAAGCCCAAACCAGATGGGATGCCGTATCGCTGCAGAATGCTGTGGTAGCCATGCTGGTTAAGTGTGCCTTGAATTCTAAATAAATCACAGACAGTGTTACCAGCAAAGCACCCCCACACCATAACACCTCCTCCTCCATGCTTTACGGTGGGAAATACACATGCGGAGATCATCCGTGCACCCACACCGCGTCTCACAAAAACACGGCGGTTGGAACCAAAAATCTCCAATTTGGACTCCAGACCAAAGGACAAATTTCCACCGGTCTAATGTCCATTGCTCGTGTTTCTTGGCATAAAACAAGTCTCTTCTTATTATTGGTGTCCTTTAGTAGTGGTCTCTTTGCAGCAATTAGACCACGAAGGCCTGATTCACTCAGTCTCCTCTGAACAGTTGATGTTGAGAGATGTCTGTGACTTGAACTCTGTGAAGCATTTATTTGGGCTGCAATTTCTGAGGCTACTAACTCTAATGAACTTATCCTCTGCAGCAGAGGTAACTCTGGGTCTTCCATTCCTGTGGCGGTCGTCATGAATGCCAGTTTCATCATAGCGCTTGATGGTTTTTCCAACTGCACTTGAAAAAACTTTTAAAGTTCTTGACATTTTCCGGATTTACTGACCTTCATGTCTTAAAATAATGATGGACTATCGTTTCTCTTTGCTTATTCGAGCTGTTCTTGCCATAATATGGGCTTGGTCTTTTACCAAATAGGGCTATCTTCTTTATACCTTGTCACAACACAACTGATTGGCTCAAACGCATTAGGAAGGAAAGAAATTCCACAAATTAACTTTTAACAAGGCACCCCTGTTAATTGAAATGCATTCCAGGTGACTACCTCATGAAGCTGGTTGAGAGAATGCCAAGAGTGTGCAAAGCTGTCATCAAGGCAAAGGGTGGCTGTTTGAAGAATCTCAAATATAAAATATTTTTATTTGTTTAACACTTTTTTTTGGTTACTTCATAATTCCATATGTGTTATTTCATCTTGTTGACGTCTTCACTATTATTCTACAATGTAAAAATAAAGAAAAACCCTTGAATGAGTAGGTGTGTCCAAACTTTTGGCTGGTAGTGTAATATATTGATTTTCCTTTATTATTTTCCCCTAACCCTACCACCTAGCCACTAATTGGAGTGAACTAATGGACAACAATACTTAGGCTATGGTCATTGTTGGCACGACTGGATCTGGGACCAGGCTAGAATTGATTAGGGCTTGGGGGATAATTCTATTGACACATAGATTAAGAACACTTTATAAAATGTGTTGTTTCGATGCTGAACACTGATTTGGTTGATAGCGCCACAATCCCCGCATTCCACTCGGAATGCCTGTTTACAGTTCCATTAGATTTATCAATGCGCATCCGCTGTCCCACAGCCCAGCCTCCACTGTCCCACAGCCCAGCCTCCGCTGTCCCACAGCCCAGCCCCCGCTGTCCCACAGCCCAGCCTCCGCTGTCCCACAGCCCAGCCTCCGCTGTCCCACAGCCCAGCCTCCGCTGTCCAACAGCCCAGCCCAAGCATTCATGAATGCAATCTCCCCACGAAAAAAGGCTTCCTTCTTTTCACTCTGTCAATTAGGTTAGTATTGTGGGGTAACTACAATGTTGATCCATCCTCCGTTTTCTCCTATCACAGTCATTAAACTCTGTAACTGTTTTAATGTCACCATTGGCCTCATGGTGAAATACCAGAGCGGTTTCCTTCATCTCCGGCAACTGAGTTAGGAATGACGCCTGTGTCTTTGTAGTGACTGGGTGTACTGATTTTGTAATGAATAACTTCAAAAGGCACTCACACATCTGAGCTATCTTTGTTGCCGGTGCCATGGTAACAGTTGAATAAGATGAGACAAAATAAGAAACCCACACACTGCTCTTGGTAGTGTCACTGCTCTTGGTAGTATCACTGCTCTTGGTAGTGTCACTGCTCTTGGTAGTGTCACTGCTCTTGGTAGTGTCACTGCTCTTGGTAGTGTCACTGCTCTTGGTAGTGTCACTGCTCTTTAAAATATTTACCTATCGGCCTCAAGGCCTTCGTCAGAGCTTTTGTGAATAAAAAAAAACAAATGTACCCAATGATTTATGAAAACTTGCTTGATGGGTCGATGTCCTCCATTGTGGTTTTACAGACGTGTTTTTAATACGTTTTTATGTACACACTTTATTAGAATATTTATGTGAAATGCACATTTTTATATTTGTTAACACTTATTAATTTTCCCTCGACTCCAACCCCATTCGATGCATTGAATGGATGTGGGTGGAGCTATGTCTACATAAGGGTGCTGATAAAAAATAAAAAAACACCAAAAGCTCTGACGAAGGCCTTGAGGCGCATACGTAAAGCTTATTAAAGACTAGTAATTAAAACTTCACCGCGCTCAAAGGGAAATTCATTGTCTGCTTCTTTTGTTTTTACCCGTCTACCAATAGGTGCCCTTTGCGAGGCATCGGAAAACGTCCCTGGGTCTTTGTGGTTGAATCTGTGTTTGAAATTCACTGCTTGGCTGAGGGACCTTACAGATGTGTGGGGTACAGAGATGAGGTAGTCATTCAAAAAATTATGTTAAAGTCCATGTCGACTTGTTAAGCACATATTTAGTCCTGAACTTATTTAGGCTTGCAATAACAAAGGGGTTGAATACATTTACATAATTTAGCTCAAGACTTCTCAGATTTCCATTTTTAATTAATTTGTAAAAAATAATAATGAAATGCATAATTCCACTTTGACATGATGGTGTATTGTGGGTATTGTGTTGACCTTATTGTGTGTAGGCCAGTGACAAAACATCTACATTTAATCCATTTTGAATTCAGGCTGTAACAACAAAATGTGGAAAAAGTCAAGGGGTGTGAATACTTTCTGAAGGCGCTGTATTTCTCACTAGTTTTAAACATTTTAGAGAAAAATACAAATGTTCCTAAACACAATTGAACCTCTAGATTTAACCAGGCTCTCTAGACTAGTGTCCATAAGGTCTGTGCTGCAGGCTGAACCTTTGACGTCCGCTGTTTGCTTAGCAACTTCAGAACCAACAACTGGCTTTTGACCGGACTACATCGTCTGGTGGAAGAATGAAATGAAACAAATTTACTCAGTAAAATAAAGTTTTTAATGAAAACATGTTAATCTTTTTATTTTAATTTTTTTTGACGGTTTTATAAAAGCAGTAAAGTCCTCGAACCCGGGGATTATCGTGTGATAACTCCCTCCTAAGGGCTGCTCCCAGCCCTTTGACTTCACCTCGGGTCTAAGAACAGCCCATAGCCGGGAGTTATCACACGATAATCCCCGGGTTCTCATGCCTTATTGCTAAATTATTCATCAATTGTACACATGGTCCAACCGAAATGTACCCTTTTGGCTTTATCCCAACCCCTCCGAAAGACACGCATACAGGTTGGAGAGGTCTGTCCCTATGCTATATACACCTCTTTGGAGATTTATCACTGATGTTGGCTAACTCAAAATGCTCTCCTTTCACTGTCTGAGGAGTTTACAGAACGTAATGAATTTCGTTCTTCAGTTACAATGCTACTTTTTTTTTTTTTTTTTTTTTTTTTTTCCAGCATCGTTTAAAATGCAGGAAAGCCGCACCGTTTTTTAAGATGTTCTCATTTTGCTGTTGGAGATGTTCACTGCTCTTGCAGAGTCGGAGCAGGAAAAAGAGAATTGTTAGTATTTCCTGCTGAGCCAACCAATGCCCTTGTCTCTTATCCCTCTGCCTCTCTTACAGTGTTCTGAGAAATATAGGCCTAGTTCCATCCAGAGTTGATATTTTTATTGATTAATTTAACCTTTTATATGTTATCAGGTTTAGGCCTATGTTATTGAGAACACAAACACACTCTGTAATAACAACCTGAACCATAGTGTTGCGATGGTCAGACTATAGAATTAGATTCTATAGTAAGGAAATTCTATGGTTTTGTATTTCTATGATTCAGAGACCCACTCCCAGCCCTGAAGGCACACATTTAGTGCCACATGTTTATAACATAATACAGGGTCACAGGTGAAAGGGGTTTTGAGACGAGACTCCTATCACGAGCCATTGAAACGCCATATAACTGAAACGTTGAATCTCAATGGTATATTCAGAATGGAATTGTTGTTCTCCACATATAGGCTATGTTGTTACAGAACCTAACACTGATAATACACAAGACATTATGAAGGACGCATTTTTCTTCCAGACTTTGCTAGTTTGTTCGGGTCTGTCTCTCCTGATCCACAAAACACCACATGTCTTAGTGTTACTAGGAGTGTGTCTTGTCTTTGGCTCCTGTCATGGACACACTGTGGACCCCAGGGAGAGTAGCTACTTGGGATCCTTTGGCTCCTGTCATGGACACACTGTGGACCCCAGGGAGAGTAGCTACTTGGGATCCTTTGGCTCCTGTCATGGACACACTGTGGACCCCAGGGAGAGTAGCTACTTGGGATCCTTTGGCTCCTGTCATGGACACACTGTGGACCCCAGGGAGAGTAGCTACTTGGGATCCTTTGGCTCCTGTCATGGACACACTGTGGACCCCAGGGAGAGTAGCTACTTGGGATCCTTTGGCTCCTGTCATGGACACACTGTGGACCCCAGGGAGAGTAGCTACTTGGGATCCTTTGGCTCCTGTCATGGACACACTGTGGACCCCAAGGGAGAGTAGCTACTTGGGATCCTTTGGCTCCTGTCATGGACACACTGTGGACCCCAGGGAGAGTAGCTACTTGGGATCCTTTGGCTCCTGTCATGGACACACTGTGGACCCCAGGGAGAGTAGCTACTTGGGATCCTTTGGCTCCTGTCATGGACACACTGTGGACCCCAGGGAGAGTAGCTACTTGGGATCCTTTGGCTCCTGTCATGGACACACTGTGGACCCCAGGGAGAGTAGCTACTTGGGATCCTTTGGCTCCTGTCATGGACACACTGTGGACCCCAGGGAGAGGCTCCTGTCATGGACACACTGTGGACCCCAGGAAGAGGCTCCTGTCATGGACACACTGTGGACCCCAGGAAGAGGCTCCTGTCATGGACACACTGTGGACCCCAGGAAGAGGCTCCTGTCATGGACACACTGTGGACCCCAGGGAGAGGCTCCTGTCATGGACACACTGTTGGACCCCCAGGAAGAGGCTCCTGTCATGGACACACTGTGGACCCCAGGGAGAGGCTCCTGTCATGGACACACTGTGGACCCCAGGAGAGGCTCCTGTCATGGACACACTGTGGACCCCAGGGAGAGGCTCCTGTCATGGACACACTGTGGACCCCAGGAAGAGGCTCCTGTCATGGACACACTGTGGACCCCAGGGAGAGGCTCCTGTCATGGACACACTGTGGACCCCAGGGAAGAGGCTCCTGTCATGGACACCACTGTGGACCCCAGGGAGAGGCTCCTGTCATGGGACACACATGTGGACCCCAGGGAGAGGCTCCTGTCATGGACACACTGTGGACCCCAGGGAGAGGCTCCTGTCATGGACACACTGTGGACCCCAGGGAGAGGCTCCTGTCATGACACACTGTGGACCCCAGGGAGAGGCTCCTGTCATGGACACACTGTGGACCCCAGGGAGAGGCTCCTGTCATGGACACACTGTGGACCCCAGGGAGAGGCTCCTGTCATGGACACACTGTGGACCCCAGGGAGAGGCTCCTGTCATGGACACACTGTGGACCCCAGGGAGAGGCTCCTGTCATGGACCACTGTGGACCCCAGGGAGAGGCTCCTGTCATGGACACACTGTGGACCCCAGGGAGAGGCTCCTGTCATGGACACACTGTGGACCCCAGGGAGAGTAGCTGCTGCATCAGTAACAGCTGATTGGGATCCTAATAAATGAAACTGAACATATTTATTTGTGTTTGTGAGATATATATATATATATGCACGCACACCTACGCACGCACGCACGCACGCACACACACACACACCTACGCACGCACGCACGCACGCACACACACACACACACACACACACACACACACACACACACACACACACACACACACACACACACATATACATATATATATATATATATATATATGTGTATATGTGTATATGTGTATGTATGTATATATATGTGTGTGTGTGTGTGTGTGTGTGTGTGTATGTATGTGTGTATATATATAAAAAATGTATGCATCAGGTGATTTGTTTATTCAATATGTCAATGTGTTTTATCTGTCCCTCCTCAAATAAAGCCATACAGAAATGTGGCATGAATGACTTGGTACTAAACCGCTCTGTTTCTGTCCGTCAGACACTTTAACCTGAGGATGAAGAGAGACACCAGTCTGTTTGCTGAGGACCTGATGGTGGACGTGGGAGGGCAGGAGGTGAACTATGACACCTCCCACATCTACACCGGAGAAATATATGGTGAGGCTGGATGACGCTTTACGACATGTTTGTTCCTTCTATGAGTTTTATATATATATAACCCTGGCCTGTATGCTACATTGTTCCTTCTACAGTGCATTTGGAAAGTATTCAGACCCCTTCCCCTTTTTCCACGTTTTATGTTACAGCCTTATTCTAAAATCGATTTAAAAATATATATTGATGAGGAGATATATATATATATATATATATATATATATCCTCAAACTACACACAATAACCCATAATGACAAAGCGAAAACAGGTTTTTCGAAATGTTTGCAAAATTATAAAAAAATAAAACAGAAATACACTTTGTTATGAGACTCGAAATTGAGCTCCGGTGCATCCTGTTTCCATTGATCATCCTTGAGATGTTTCTACAACTTGATTGGAGTCCACCTTTTGGTAAATTCAATTGATTGGACATGATTTGGAAAGGCACACACCTGTCTATATAATATCCCACAGTTGACAGTGCATGTCAGAGCAAAAACCAAGCCATGAGGTCGAAGGAATTGTCCGTAGAGCTCCAAGACAGGATTGTGTCGAGGCACAGATCTGGGAAAGGGTACCAAAACATTTCTGCAGCATTGAAGGTCCCCAAGAACACATTGGCCTCTATCATTCTTAAATGGAAGAAGTTTGGAACCACCAAGATTCTTCCTAGAGCTGGCCGCCTGGCCAAACTGAGCAATCAGGGGAGAAGGGCCTTGGTCAGGGAGGTGACCAAGAACCATATGGTCACTCTGACAGAGCTCCAGAGTTCCTTTGTGGAGATGCGAGATCCTTCCAGAAGGACAACCATCTCTGCAGCACTCCACCAATCAGGCCTTTATGGTAGAGTGGCCAGACTGAAGCCACTCCTTAGTAAAAGGCACATGACAGCCCGTTTGGAGTTTGCCAAAAAGCAACTAAAGGACTTCTCTGGTCTGATGAAACCAAGATTGAACTCTTTGGCCTGAATGCCAAGCGTCACGTCTGGAGGAAACCTTTTCAGCGGCAGGGACTGGGAGACTAGTGAGGATCGAGGGAAAGATGAAAGGAGCAAGGTACAGAGAGATCCTTGATGAAAACCTGCTCCAGAGTGCTCAGGACCTCAGACTGGGGCGAAGGTTCACCTTCCAACAGGACAACGACCCTAAGCACACAGCCAAGACAACGCAGGAGTTGCTTCAGGACAGGTCTCTGAATGTCCTTGAGTGGCCCAGCCAGAGCCCGGACTTGAACCATATCGAACATCTCTGGATAGACCTGAAAATAGCAGTGCAGCAATGCTCCCCATCCAACCTGACAGAGCTTGAGAGGATCTGCAGAGAAGAATGGGAGAAACTCCCCAAATACAGGTGTGCCAAGCTTGTAGCGTCATACCCAAGAAGACTCGAGGCTGTAATCGCTGCCAAAGGTGCTTCAACAAAGTACTGAGTAAAGGGTCTGAATACTTATGTAAATACTTTCCGAATGCACTGTATATGTTATATCTAACCCTGGTCTGTATGCTACATTAATGGACTGGTCCAGGTAGTCCCTCCCTCAGTCTGTTTCTTCTGTTTGGTATCTAAGGAGAGACTGGCCTCCACTCCAGCCTTTCTAGTTTTTTTCAGATGAAGCTTGATTCTGGATTGAGAATAGGGTGTTGAGGTCTGGTATCACAAGACCAAATGAACATACCCCCTCTATCTCCAGGTGAGAAGGGCACCCTGAGCCATGGTTCGGTGGTGGATGGGATGTTTGAGGGCTTCATCCAGACGTACCAGGGGACTTTCTACGTAGAGCCAGCTGAGAGATACCTGAAGGACAGGGACCTTCCCTTCCACTCGGTTATCTACCACGAGGACGACATCGGTGAGTACTGTGGTAGGATGGGGGGGTGTTGTGTGGGCCAAAGATGTACCCTTCCACCTTTTACACCCAGTCCTCTACTGCTTCTGTCACCATACAAACACACAGGCTTTGATGTATCCTCTTGTCATCTTTTAATTGTGTGAGTGTCTGCCTGCGTGTTACCATCTGGAGGATAGAGACGGGCTCATGCGTGTTACCGTTCCATCTGGAGGATAGAGACGGGCTCAGTGCTGGCAGCTAGGGAGAGGAGAGGAGAGGAGAGACTCATTAGCTGAGTGACTGGGTGGGTGTAAAGCCCCTCTCAATCTGATTGGCCTTCGGGTCCATCAATCAACCGCTGATGCCAACCAATCAACTCCAACTCAGCTGTTCCACTGTTCATACCGGACCTTATTCCTTTGTTCCTTTGGGTTACCAAAACGCAGCAGGCGTTGACGAGGTGGAGTCCTGGTAACTGGTCTGTTCTATTGGCAAATGTCCAGTCACTCGAGAATAAGATGGATGAGCTTCGTTCGAGACTGTCCAATCGGAGTGACTTGAAAAGCTGCAATATTATATGTCTTACTGAACCGTGGCTGGATGATGACGCTATGCACTCAGGTGATTCTCCATGCAGCGGCAGGATCGGACTGCGGCTTCGGGGAAAACCAAACGAGGCAGTGTGTTTATTTTCATAAATAGCTGGTGTGCTGCTTCAAGTGTGAAGGAAATCTCAAGCTTTATCTCACATAATATATAATACCTCATGGTAAGTTGCAGACCGTTTTATCGACCAATAGATCAATTATTATCATGGCTGTCGCAGTCCGATCCTGACGTAAAACGCTCTTGCCTGGGATATACTCTAACCTAATGGTCACTTTAATAATGTTTACATGCTGTTTTACCCACTTCATATGTATATACTGTATTCTAGTTAAGTCCATCCAATTCAACTATTGCTGTACATATGCTATTCTATCCACGTATTCTTCAGATATACTACATATTCTATCCCCATACTGTCCATAATGTCTGTACATCCCATCATTCATATATATTAAAACAAAAAAAGGTGTACAAATGCAAGAGTGTGCAAAGCTGGCTATTTGAAGAATCTCAAATCTCAAATATATTTTTATTTGTTTAACACTTTTTTGGTTACTACATGATTCCATATGTGTTATTTCATAGTTTTGATGTCTTCACTATTATTCTACAATGTAGAAAATAGTAAAAATAAAGAAAAACCCTTGAATGAGTAGGTGTGTCCAACCTTTTGACTGGTACTGTATATATGTATGTATGTATGTATGTACAGTGGGGAGAACAAGTATTTGATACACTGCCGATTTTGCAGGTTTTCCTACTTACAAAGCATGTAGAGGTCTGTAATTTTTATCATAGGTACACTTCAACTGTGAGAGACGGAATCTAAAACAAAAATCCAGAAAATCACATTGTATGATTTTTAAGTAATTAATTTGCATTTTATTGCCTGACATAAGTATTTGATACATCAGAAAAGCAGAACTTAATATTTGGTACAGAAACCTTTGTTTGCAATTATAGAGATCATATTTTTCCTGTAGGTCTTGACTAGGTTTGCACACACTGCAGCAGGGATTTTGGCCCACTCCTCCATACAGACCTTCTCCAGATCCTTCAGGTTTCGGGGCTGTCGCTGGGCAATACAGACTTTCAGCTCCCTCCAAAGATTTTCTATTGGGTTCAGGTCTGGAGACTGGCTAGGCCACTCCAGGACCTTGAGATGCTTCTTACGGAGCCACTCCTTAGTTGCCCTGGCTGTGTGTTTCGGGTCGTTGTCATGCTGGAAGACCCAGCCACGACCCATCTTCAATGCTCTTACTGAGGGAAGGAGGTTGTTGGCCAAGATCTCGCGATACATGGCCTCATCCATCCTCCCCTCAATACGGTGCAGTCGTCCTGTCCCATTTGCAGAAAAGCATTCCCAAAGAAATGATGTTTCCACCTCCATGCTTCACGGTTGGGATGGTGTTCTTGGGGTTGTACTCATCCTTCTTCTTCCTCCAAACACGGCGAGTGGAGTTTAGACCAAAAAGCTCTATTTTTGTCTCATCAGACCACATGACCTTCTCCCATTCCTCCTCTGGATCATCCAGATGGTCATTGGCAAACTTCAGACGGGCCTGGACATGCGCTGGCTTGAGCAGGGGGACCTTGCGTCATTTTAATCCATGACGGCGTAATGTGTTACTAATGGTTTTCTTTGAGACTGTGGTCCCAGCTCTCTTCAGGTCATTGACCAGGTCCTGCCGTGTAGTTCTGGGCTGATCCCTCACCTTCCTCATGATCATTGATGCCCCACGAGGTGAGATCTTGCATGGAGCCCCAGACCGAGGGTGATTGACCGTCATCTTGAACTTCTTCCATTTTCTAATAATTGCGCCAACAGTTGTTGCCTTCTCACCAAGCTGCTTGCCTATTGTCCTGTAGCCCATCCCAGCCTTGTGCAGGTCTACAATTTTATCCCTGATGTCCTCACACAGCTCTCTGGTCTTGGCCATTGTGGATAGGTTGGAGTCTGTTTGATTGAGTGTGTGGACAGGTGTATTTTATACAGGTAACGAGTTCAAACAGGTGCAGTTAATACAGGTAATGAGTGGAGAACAGGAAGGATTCTTAAAGAAAAACTAACAGGTCTGTGAGAGCCGGAATTCTTACTGGTTGGTAGGTGATCAAATACTTATGTCATGCAATAAAATGCAAATTAATGACTTAAAAATCATACAATGTGATTTTCTGAATTTTTGTTTTAGATTCCGTCTCTCACAGTTGAAGTGTACCTATGATAAAAATTACAGACCTCTACATGCTTTGTAAGTAGGAAAACCTGCAAAATCGGCAGTGTATCAAATACTTGTTCTCCCCACTGTACATACATACATACAGTTGAAGTCGGAAGTTTACATACAGTTTAGCCAAATACATTTAAACTCAGTTTTTCACAATTCCTGACATTTAATCCTAGTAAAGATTCCCTGTCTTAGGTCAGTTAGGATCACCACTTTATTTTAAGAATGTGAAATGTCAGAATAATAGTAGAGAGATTTATTTCAGGTTTTATTTAATAATAATAATAATAATAATATGCCATTTAGCAGACGCTTTTATCCAAAGCGACTTACAGTCATGTGTGCATACATTTTTACGCATGGGTGGTCCCGGGGATCGAACCCACTACTCTGGCGTTACAAGCGCCATGCTCTACCAATTGAGCTACAGAGGACCAATACCATTTATTTCATCACATTCCCAGTGGGTCAGAAGTTTACATACAGTCAATTAGTATTTGGTAGCATTGCCTTTTAAATTGTTTAACTTGGGTCAAATATTTCGGGTAGCCTTCCACAACCTTCCCACAATAAGTTGGGTGAATTTTGGCCCATTCCTCCTGACAGAGCTGGTGTAAGGCCTCCTTGCTCACACACGCTTTTTCAGTTCTGCCCACAAATGTTTTATAGGATTGAGGTCAGGGCTTTGTGATGGCCACTCCAATACCTTGACTTTGTTGTCCTTAAGCCATTTTGCCACAACTTTGGAAGTATACTTGGGGTCATTGTCCATTTGGAAGACCCATTTGCGACCAAGCTTTAACTTCCTGACTGATGTCTTGATGTCGCTTCAATATAGCCACATAATTTTCTTTCCTCATGATGCCATCTATTTTGTGAAGTGCACCAGTCCCTCCTGCAGCAAAGCACCCCCACAGCATGATGCTGCCACCCCCGTGCTTCACGGTTGGGATGGTGTTCTTCGGCTTGGAAGCCACACCCCTTTTCCTCCAAACATAACGATGGTCATTATGGCCAAACAGTTCTATTTTTGTTTCAGTAGACCAAAGGACATTTCTCCAAAAAGTATGATCTTTGTCCCCATGTGCAGTTGCAAACCGTAGTCTGGCTTTTTTATGGCGGTTTTGAAGCAGTGGCTTCTTCCTTACTGAGCGGCCTTTCAGGTTATTTCGATATAGGACTCGTTTTACTGTGGGTATAGATACTTTTGTACCTGTTTCCTCCAGCATCTTCACAAGGTCCTTTTTGCTGTTGTTCTGGGATTTATTTGCACTTTTCGCACCAAAGTACGTTCATCTCTAGGAGACAGAACGCATCTCCTTCCTGAGCGGTATGACGGCTGCGTGGTCCCATGGTGTTTATACTTGCGTACTATTGTTTGTACATTGAACGTGGCACCTTCAGGCGTTTGGAAATTGCTCCCAAGGATGAACCAGACTTGTTGAGGTCTACTATTTTATTTCTGATGTCTTGGCTGATTTCTTTTGATTTTCCCATGATTTCAAGCAAAGAGGCACTGAGTTTGAAGGTAGGCCTTGAAATACATCCACAGGTACACCTCCAATTGACTCAAATGATGTCAATTAGCCTATCAGAAGCTTCTAAAGCCATGGCATAATTTTCTGGAATTTTCCAAGCTGTTTAAAGGCACAGTCAACTTAGTGTATGTAAACTTCTGACCCACTGGAATTGTGATACAGTGAATTATAAGTGAAATAATCTGTCAGTAAACAATTGTTGGAAACATTACTTGTGTCATGCACAAAGTAGATGTCCTAACCGACTTGCCAAAACTATAGTTTGTTAACAAGAAATTTGTAAACTTCCGACTTCAACTGTGTGTGCGCGCGCACACACACAGACTCTGACATTGCTTGTTCTAATATTTATATATGTCTTAGTTCCGTTATTGTACGTATAGATTTGTGTGTATTGTTAGATATTACTGCACTGTTGGAGCTGGGAACACAAGCGTTTCGCTACACCCGCAATAACATCTGCTAAATACGTGAATGTGACCCCTAAAACTTGATTTGATTTGATTTGCGTTAGCAGACGAGCTCCAGCTAGCCGGGTTCTTCTTCTTCTTCTTCGCTGGATTTAATGATAATAATAATAACGTTTTTTTTTTTTTTTTACATTTTAGTCATTTAGCAGACGCTCTTATCCAGAGCGACTTACAGTTAGTGAGTGCATACATTTTTACTGGGAATGATTGTCCCAGATGCCACTGCTTAATGAAACGCGCTACGGCAGGGTTCTTCAATTCCGGTGCTGGAGGGCCGAAACACTTCTGTTTTTTATTTCTACCTGGTAGTTAATTGCACTCATGGTGTCCCAGGTCTGAATTAGCCCCTGATTAGAAGGAGAGGATGAAAAACAGAGGTGTTTCGGCCCTCCAGGACCGGAATTGAAGAACCCTGTGCTACGGTGCTGTGCTGGGCCATATGTGGTCTGATATAAATGTTAATCTATTATTACATAGATATTCATCTACATATGTCCTCATATAGTCATCCGTACAGTGGTCCTCTGTAGCTCAGCTGGTAGAGCGCGGCGCTTGTAACGCCAGGGTAGTGGGTTCGATCCCCGGGACCACCCATACACAAAAATGTATGCACGCATGACTGTAAGTCGCTTTGGATAAAAGCGTCTGCTAAATGGATTATTATTATTATTATTATTATTATTATTATATTATAGACTAATCAGGCAACCGCTAGGACATTGGAGAACAAGGTGTAGAGTGAGTGGGAGGGTGTGAGCTGGACGGGAGCAGTCCAAACGTCTCTCTCCAAGACCTCTCCCACAAGTATGTCTTCATCTGCACAGTATGCTAATTATCAGTTGAGTTAGAGCATGTAAATAGAGAACAAGGTGTAGAGTGAGTGAGATGTGTATGAGCTTTTATCCCAGGTAATCTAAACAATAATGTCCATCTCGCTGCCCTAGACTACCCCCACAAGTATGGTCCAGAGGGGGGCTGTGCCGACCACTCAGTGTTTGAGAGGATGAGGAAGTACCAAGCCACCGGCATGGAGAAGCCAGCCAAGGTCAGTTCACTTTTTAAGGGTTGAACAATTCTGGTAACTTTCCCCAAATTCCCAGGTCTTACAGAAATCCCGGTTGGACATTTCCCTGAATCGGAAGGGAAACGGGCAGTAAATCCGGAATCCTTCAACCAGGATTTCTGGGAAATTTGGGAAAGTTACTGGAATTGTTCAAACCTACACGTAATACGATAGTGGTTTTCAAAGTAAGGAGCAGTAAGCATGGAACTGGAAGAGAAAATAATACTGTATTTATATCTTTGTGTCCTCTGAACTATGTGATGATACTCCATGTAAGTATCAACATACTGCATATTGCATCAACTTCTTGCCTCAACATCTCATCTGTGCTTCAGCCAAAAAGGTTTTTATAACACTATGAAACTATAAGATAATGTCTTCATTATCCACATGGGGAAATGCTTGTACAATAGTCTACAGTAATAGTCTTTAAAACGTTACATTCCCTCTCCTTTCCCCCCCCCCCTCCTCCTCATCCCAGGAGCTCCATTCTGAGGAGGCGTCCAGTGACCCAGTGTTGCTGAGGAAGAGGAGGATGACTCAGATAGAGAAGAACACCTGTCAGCTCTTCATCCAGACTGACCACCTCTTCTTCAAGTACTACAAGACCAGGGAAGCTGTTATTGCACAGGTCCTGGGTGATATACACACACACACTAGTCCTCAATACCACCAAGCGGATTATGGGAAAACATGTCAACAATGCTTTCAGACGTTGCAGTTTTTGCTATTACAGAATAATGATGCGAATACTGATGTATGTTGTCTCTCTGTTCCAGATCTCTAGTCACGTCAAGGCCATAGATGCCATCTACCAGGGAACAGACTTCATGGGCATCCGCAACATCAGCTTTATGGTCAAGAGGATACGGGTGAGTTCCTCCCTGCCCAGTTGTTTGACCTGGCATCAATTAAATTATATTTCTAAAACCCTTTTTACATCAACAGTTGTCACAGTGCATTCCATTTTACTGATTTAAAAGTCTCAACTGTCCCTTCGACCTCTTCTCCTCTTTAAACTTGTTAGTTCGGCAGTCATCACCATCACTTCCTGTTGTCTGTCATGATGTCACTTCCTATTTCCACTTCCTTTTATCTGTCCTAACGTGACCACTCCCTGCTCCAGATCAACACCACTACAGATGAGCGGGACCGGTCCAACCCGTTCCGCTTCGCTAACATCGGCGTGGAGAAGTTCCTTGAGCTGAATTCTGAGCAGAACCATGACGACTACTGTCTGGCGTACGTCTTCACTGACAGGGACTTTGATGATGGTGTCCTGGGCCTGGCCTGGGTCGGCGCTCCTGCAGGTTCATACACTTCCCTTTTTTCACAATTTACACACATTACAGTTACACTTATTACACACTGTTTATCAACAGCAGATATTACACGCTGGAATGACAGACGTTGTCGTCAGTCTTTCTGTCTATGAAATTAGCCCTGTTTTTGGATTCCTGTCTTTGTCATTGAGCGCCTCTCCTACTTTCCTTTGTTTGCTCAGTTTTTTTATTTGATAAACTTGTGTTATCCGTTTTTTTTATTTCCATTTTGGATTCATCATTATGAATTGAATTGCTTGGATGTATGAATTGTGCTATATAAATAAACTTGCTTGCTTGCTTGCTCACTAATACTTGACTGGGTTAATAGAGGATAAACCTGCCCCTCTATAATGGTTGACTGTGTGTCCACAGGGAGTTCTGGAGGGATCTGTGAGAAGAGTAAGCTGTACTCTGACGGGAAGAAGAAGTCCCTGAATACCGGCATCATCACTGTACAGAACTACGCCTCCCACGTCCCTCCTAAAGTCTCCCACATCACCTTCGCCCACGAGGTCGGACACAACTTCGGCTCGCCGGTGAGTTGGATAACCTAGGCCGGTGATGGGAGATCTCCTAGACTGTGTTTACACAGGCAGCCCAAATCTGATCTTTTTTTTTTTCTCACTCATTTGGTCTTTTTGACCAGTCAGATCATCTCTTTTTGACGATAATTGGGCAAAAGATGAGAATTGGCCTGCTGTGTAAACGCAGCCATAAAGCACTTCTCTCTCTCTCTCTCCTTTCTCTGTTGTCTTTACTGCATGTAGAGATGCAACAGAAAATGTCATGTCTGGGAGATGAGTTGTTGCTTTGGTGTTTGTGTAAACTGTTAGGAGCCTGTGAAAAATAAATGTCTTTCTCAGAGGACAATTTTATTAAACGTTTATTTTGACAGGGAAGTCCTACTGAGACTAGGGTCTCTATTACAGTTGAGCCCTGCATATATACATTAAACAGATAAAATATACAAAGTTACAAAACGTGTATATGTATATATGTGTGTGTGTGTGTGTGTGTGTGTGTGTGTGTGTGTGTGTGTATATATATATATATATATATATATATATATATTTTAAAGACATTCAAACTAGTAATTATAAGTTCATTTAAATCTGGGTTATGGGACCTAGAAAAAAGCATGCATTTTGTTTGCATTTAGCACTAACTTTAGATCCAATACTGACCTCTTCAAATTTGAAATCAGATTTTCATGCACTGCAAAGTATTAGCCAACCGATGGAGCAATGGAATACAACACTGTATCATTGTATTTACAGCATTACCAATGTTGTTTATATAGATTGTAATCAGTTGTGGGCCGAGTATTGAACCTTGGGGCACCCCTTTATGTAACTTAAGGAACTCAGATTTGATCCCATCTACCTTGATGGCCAGAATTCTTCCATTGAGATAATTATGAACCCATCGGCAAGCATCAGTACCCAACCCTATCTAGGACAGCTTATTCAACAGAATAACATGGTCTACAAACATGGCAGCACAATTCTTTCTATCATCTAAGGCATTTGCAATATCATTTCCAACAAGCATGGTAGCCGTAGTGGTACTATGTGTAAATCTATTCTCAAATATCATGTCTCCCTCCCACCCTACAGCATGACTCGGGGTCAGAGTGCACCCCAGGGGAGTCTAAGGCCCAGGACAAGAAGGAGAAGGGGAACTACATCATGTACGCCCGGGCCACGTCAGGAGACAAGCTCAACAACAACAAGTTCTCCATCTGCAGCGTCAGGAACATCAGCCAGGTCCTGGAGAAGAAGAGGGGAAGCTGCTTTGTCGGTACGTTTCCACTGGTGGCTATGGTGTTTGAAGCTGCTTTGTCGGTACGTTTCCACTGGTGGCTATGGTGTTTGAAGCTGCTTTGTCGGTACGTTTCCACTGGTGGCTATGGTGTTTGAAGCTGCTTTGTCGGTACGTTTCCACTGGTGGCTATGGTGTTTGAAGCTGCTTTGTCGGTACGTTTCCACTGGTGGCTATGGTGTTTGAAGCTGCTTTGTCGGTACGTTTCCACTGGTGGCTATGGTGTTTGAGACTAGCCCTTAGTTTCAGATTGGAGTGTAGTGTGTAGGGGTTGCAGAATTCTGGAAACTTTCCAGAAATTCCCAGGTTTTTAGGAAATCGCTGTTGGGAGTATTCCCGGAATCCTTCAACCAGGATTTCTGGAAAGCCTTGGAATTTTGGGAGAGTTTTCCAGAAATCTACACTGTCACAGATCAAATGTGTTATTTTGAATGTAATTTCATAACGTGTGTTCTGTCTGCCCCCCCCCATACAGAGTCTGGCCAGCCCATCTGTGGTAATGGGTTAGTGGAGCCAGGGGAGGAGTGTGACTGTGGATACAGCGATCAGTGCAGAGACCAGTGTTGCTATGACGCCGGCCAGCCTGACAACAGGAAGTGTAAGCTAAAACCCAACAAAGTCTGCAGGTAAGATAAGGTGGCCCTTTTTAAAGCTGCGATACAGTACAATGCTATTCTGTTTGAGGTTTTTATCTAACCTGTGGTGCAGGAAGATCAGTGGCACTAATTCAGGAAAGAAGCTCTTGTACATTTAGTTCCATGCAAATGTCATGGGAATGAAATTACTAAAATTGACCTGCTTATTTCTGTCATTTTGTTATTTTGCCATAATACTAATTTAACCCTTTTCTAATATTATTATTTTAATTTTATTTATTTTTCAGTCCTAGCCAGGGCCCGTGCTGTACTCCTGAGTGCGTCTATAAGGGCCGTAATGAGAAGTGTCGTGAGGAGTCTGAATGTGCCCACCAGGGCATGTGTAACGGGGGTACGGCCCAGTGCCCCACCTCTGAACCCAAGGCCAACTTCACCGCCTGTCACGGAGAGACTCAAGTCTGCCTCAATGGGGTGAGTGATTACTAGCTACCTTCAGGGTCGGGGGTCAACTCCATTTCAATTCCAGTCAATTCAGAAAGTGTACCCAATTCCTAATGTTCCTCATTGAAAAGCATTGAAGGGAATTGGAATTTCAGTGTACTTCCTGAACCCCCCCCCCCAACCCTACGTTCTGTCTGTACCAATTTATCAGTCACCACATATTAAGTTCCCTCACAGGAAAACATTATAAATCCTTAATTCAAAAAATGTATCCTGCTTAACTGTAATACTGTATACTACATCTCAAAATACCAGGAACCACAATTATTTTATTTATTCACTTACATAGGCCTATCTATGCTGCAATTCAACTTTTAGCTACAAATGTCTACAAAATAAAAATAAACCTTCAATATAAAAGTAATTTGAGATGTTGAAGATGATAGCTCGTTCCTTCCATCTCCTCCAGGGCTGCTCCGGCTCCATCTGTGAGAAGTATGGTCTGGAGGTCTGTACCTGTGCCAGTGTGGAGGGAAAGGACGAGACTGGCGAGCTGTGCCACGTCTGCTGTAGTGACAAGAGTGAGTCCTGCTTGGTGTGTGTGTGTGTCACCCTACCCCAAGGAGTGTGAGCGTTACTACACCAGTCTGACATGAACATGATGTTTTAGGGGCATATTTCAGTAGTATTATGTCCTGACATGAACATTATGTTTTTAGGGGCATATCTCAGTAGTATTATGTCCTGACATGAACATTATGTTTTTAGGGGCATATTTCAGTAGTATTATGTCCTGACATGAACATGATGCTTTAGGGGCATATTTCAGTAGTATTATGTCCTGACATGAACATGATGCTTTAGGGGCATATCTCAGTAGTATTATGTCCTGACATGAACATGATGTTTTAGGGGCATATTTCAGTAGTATTATGTCCTGACATGAACATTATGTTTTTAGGGGCATATTTCAGTAGTATTATGTCCTGACATGAACATGATGCTTTAGGGGCATATTTCAGTAGTATTATGTCCTGACATGAACATGATGTTTTAGGGGCATATTTCAGTAGTATTATGTCTTGACATGAACATGA